TGGGGATATGACAAGGGCTTGCTGGGGATATGGCGAAGAGCTTGATGGGGATATGGCGAAGAGCTTGCTGGGGATATGGCGAAGGGCTTGCTGAGGATATGGCGAAGGGCCTACTGGGGATATGACAAAGGGCTTACTGGGGATATGACGAAGGGTTTACTGGGGATATGACGAAGGGCTTACTGGGAGTATGACGAAAGGCTTACTGGGAATATGACGAAGGGCTTACTGGGGATATGACGAAGGGCTTGCTGGGGATATGGCGAATAGCTTCCTATGGATATGCCCAAGGGCTTGCTGGTGACGGGAGGGAATTCGACCATATAAAATTCCACTACCTTTCCCCACCCCGACACGCACACAAATAGGGACGCTTTTTTTGGGCCCATTTCATTGTTTGATTACAAGAGCAAGAGATCAAAGAACTTTGGAATGTCAGAACAGAATATTTGAACACAACCATATGTAGATACAAGTTGGAGAACTGTCAAAACTGTCATGTTATGACACAGCAGTTCTCAACCTGTGGTCGCCTAAGACCATAGGAAAACGCATTTCTGAAGTAGGAACGAAAATAATTTTATGGTTGGGGGTTCCCACTACATGAGAAACTGTATTGAAGGGTCGCGGCATTAGTAATGTTTAGAACCACTGTATATAAAACAAATGTTATGGTTTAGTCTAAACATATGCAAGTCGAGACAGCACTACCTTCTTTTATTTAGCTTTAGGGATACGCATTTTCCTTCACATAATAAAGTGTCGAAATATTTATTGGAATTAAATTGTTTAACATTAGTGTGAACATAAAGTTTACATACAATTCATATATGGATGACCTGTTAATAAAACTATAATAAACATATGTTAAGTTTTTATTATGTACCGGTAGTTAAATAAATATTTACACTATTGTATTTTTGTTAAGATACCCGATTAAGTCCAAAGTTTTCTTCTCCCTCTAAAATCACCCCCCTCCCCCCAAAGCAGTACAGAATTATTTGAAAACACCATATCAGGGGAAAAAACAATTAAAATATTTTACAAATAATTTCGGGATCTAAAATTGTATTATTCTTAATTAAGCAGTAGAGGTTATACGAACATTCACAGAATCCCAAATAACAAAGACAGATTTCTGTAAGACACTTGCCGTCAGAGGCGTAGCGTGGTGGGGGCAGGGGGGGGGACAGATGTCCCCGGGCGCCAGCTAGTTAGGGGCGCCAAAATGTGCTTTGATATTATTTTATTGATGAAAATAATGGGTTTGAGAGTTGAAAAAAAGAAAAAGGGGCGCTAAAAATGGATCTTGTCCCCGGGCGCCAAACACCCTCGCTACGCCACTGCTTGCCATCACAATTCGAGCAAATGGTATTGTGTTAAACTGGGGCATGCAATAATCTGCCTCATTACACATAATCTGTAACACTATACAAAAAGGTTAGAAAATGTAAGACCTTAGCAGAATAAAAATTACCAGGAAACCACCGCAAAATACAAAAAAAGTATAAAAAAAAGTTTTTCTGCATAATTTTTTAGTTTTAAACATATATAAATAATTATAGAAAATTATCAACAGTCCCTTTACCACATGTGTGTATTGTATATCCTCGAGTTTTTTTCCCTTCATTGTTCTGACTTATTTATCTTTTCATGCCCCAAAAACCTGGGGCCTTTTACACCTCTCCCCCCCCCCCCTCCAACCCAAGAAGTTAAAGTGAAACCCCTCCCCTCCCATTGACCTTGGTAAATTCTGGCATTTCTGCATGGTTTTCATTTAGAGAGTTCACTATCAATATGATATAAGTAATATGAAAATGTGCCACTGCAAAATTTGTTACAACATTGTTGACTATTCAATAAAGATATTACCATTACAATTTCATGAACAGATCAGTAATTCTTTAAATTTTTAAGCAAATGAAATTACCAAATCCATAAATTGTTTCAAAAAATGCAAAATGTAGGCCTATAATGTTTTTGCTTGGTTCTTATTCTTTAAAAAAATCGGTATTTAAAATTTGCATCAAACACACCAAGGAGAATCAAAACCTTAAAAAAAAAAAACCCGCAATATTTTGACTAAAGTAAAAAAATAAAAAAATAAGAAAATAAAAATATGATCACATGCATCAATTTTTGGCAGTTTTTATTCAAAAGTTGCTGCCATTTGCCTATACTTTAATTGATTTTTTTTTACCAGAAACATTAAGATTTAAGATTTAACCTGATTTAAAAACAAAAACAGAAACAAGGGCATGGAAATGAACTCCTCAATATCTTTGGTGCTCTCCCTTTGTAACAGATATAATGTAAAAAAATGAGGACTTCATCTATGAACTCATACTCTCTATATTGATAACAACATATTTTAACTGATTTTCAAACAATTCATTACTTTTGAAGCATCTTCAGTTTAAAAAAAACAACACATTTAATTAAATTCATCTATATTTAAAAAAATATTTCTTGGTCCAATGTGTTTCCTTGTTTTAAAAAGATCGAATCATTTATGACTATGGGTTGAGATGTTAATGTGACTAAATTAACATGAGTGATTTTTAATGTTGAAATGTAACATTCAAAATTGTGGTATTTCCAGGGCTTTAGTCAATTTTGGACTGCCAAAAGGAAAGTTTATGAAAGAATTAATTCCTGCGTTTGATATTTTTTTTTTTTAGTAATGATTCTTGAAATATCTACAGACCAATTTAACTTAAGCTGGGGAGGGGCTAGTCGTTCTCAGTTTTCAAGTTC